GGCAGAAGTGCTAACCATTGAGCCACCATGCTGCCCAACTAAATGTTGAAAATAAGGTAAATCAAAGATTTTGATACCCTACGTAAAGTATTACATTGCAAAGTGCTCCTTCTCTAGGACTCACAATAATTTCTTCATTCAAGTATTTGATTTTATAAAACAATCTGACAGTAAATGACATGCATCCACCAAGTTAGCTTCAGAGATTTTCTTCCTCTCCGATATGTCTCTCAAGCCAGAAAGGCCAATTTATAACCTCCTCTCACTAACACATTTCATTGCTCAATTCCACAAGGAGTAACTATTTTAAAGACTATCTTAAAATATTTGACAAAGAAAATGTCATATCAACTGCCTTCCCAAGAGTCAGAGAGTGGGCAGAGAAAACACTTTTAACAGCTCTTTTTATTTCATTAATTTCCTAAGCTAAAAGATATTTCTCATTCTCAACCATGAGAAATGTTATGGAAGCAGATGCACTAGAATATCCATCAGGAAGATTAGTGTGTGAATCATAAGTAATAACTAGCCAGATTTTTGATCTTTGGCTCATTTAAGGATGAGAACTTAAGTGTGAATTTATCTAGATTTTTTGAAATGTTTTATAACATCTTCTCTACTTTAGGGTGTTTCATCATAATACACATAATAACATATAATATATAATACATAATATTAAACCTAGCATCTTGCCTACATTAAGTGCACAACCAATCAAGCTTTGCAATTGTTCTGTTGCTTCTTTATACATAAGATCACCTTTCTGAGTAGCAGTGAAGTTATAATGCATTGTTCGAATTCCACCTTTACACGTGGGTTATACCAAGGATCCACTTACCAGCTCAGGTGAACACTAAGGATGGTGCTGTTTGAATATTAATGATCATCATTCACTTGTTGTAGTAGGACTTGACTATGCACAAATTGCTACGTAACAACAATAATTACACCTAAATAAACAAGCCATTGGTTTAAAATTGCTTTAGGGTATCAAGGGAATGTTATAATACGCGAAGCAAACACCAGGAGGGAGACATGTAGTTGCACCTTCTATGCGGTATTCAAATTGGAAGTCAGAGCCGCAAGCTGGTACCTTTGAGGAACGTTGGGTATTCTTCACCTATCGCAATAATGAAAGTTGTGTGGAACTTGCAAATGGCAGTCTGTGACACTGCCTGCACTAGTGCATTAATAATAGTTTGTGTAGCGCTGGTACTACCTGAACAAATTTCTTTTCCACATTCTTTGAAAGTGGGAGACAAAAGGGTGTCTGGTGTACCCTAGCCATGTTTGACTGGTCAACCAAATTAATTAAATTGTACTCAAACTGCATGATGAAAAAACAGGCAGATGATGTGCCATCAAATAAGTCGCTAACTTAGTCTTTATTCTGCGTAGAGAAAAGTATGTTTGTATTTTGGTATGCAGCTTCTTTGGATTATCCCTTGCTGTCATGCTTGACAATGCACCTGTTAACCTTCATGCTGATGTTTACATCAGAGTTACCATAGCTTTTCAAGACTTCAAAAAGCAAGGTTGAAAAACTACTTATCTGTCAATTATCCCTTGCTGCACTTTTGCTGCACAAAATCATAATATCATATAATTAATCAGATTTATAAATTAATTCATGGGATACAGGCATAGCTGGCTGGGCCAGTATTATCCATCCCTAGTTACTATTAAGATAGTGTTGAACTGCCTTCTTGAACTGCTGCCAACCCTTTGGTGTAGGTACACCCAACATGCCATTAGAGAGGGAGTTCAGGATTTTGACCTCGTGTTGCCAAAGGAATGGTGATATATTTTAAAGTTAGGACAATGACTGGCTTGGAGGCAAACTTGCAGTTGGCAGTGTTCCTACATATCAGCTGGCCTTGTCCTTCTAGATGGTAGTGGTCATGACTTTGGAAAGTGCTGTCAAAGAAGTTGTGGTGAATTTCTGTAGTGCTTCTTATAGATGGTACACACTGCTGCTACAGAGTGTCAGCAGTGGAGGCAATGAACGTTTGTGGATTTGGTGCCAATTAAATGGGTTGCTTTGTTCTGGATGCTGTCAAGCCTCTTTAAGTATTGTTGGAGCTGGATTCATCTAGGCAAATAGTGTTCTGTCATATTCCTGACTAATGTCTTGTAGATGGTGGATGGGCTTTTGGGAGTCAGGAGGTAAGTTATTAGCTGCAGGCCTCTTGACATGCTCTTGTAGCCACAGAATTTATAAGGGTAGTCCAGTGCAGTTTCTGGTCAATGGTAACCCTCAGGATATTGATAACGGGAATTCAGTAATAGTATTGCCATTGAATGTCAAAGGGTGATGGTTAGATTCTCTCTTGTTGTAGGTGGTCATTGCCTGGCACTTGTGTGACCTGAATGATAATTGCAATTCAACCTGCATATTGTCCAGGACTTGCTGCATTTGGACATGGACTGCTTTAGTATCTGAGGAACTCCTGCAGAGATGTTCTGGAGCTGAGATGGCTGATGACAGCCATTTTTGCTAAGAATGACACCAACTGGTGGAGAATACTGATTCTCATTGATGTTAATTTTGCTAGGACGCCTTAATAACACACTTGGTCAAATACAGTCTTAATATTAAGGGCAGACACTCCCACCTTACCTCTAAAATTCTGCTCTTTTGTCCATGTTTGAACTGAGGCTGTAACGAGGTCAAGCTAAGGGATCCTGGCAGAACCTAAACTAAGCATCAGTGAGCAGGTTATTGCTAAGCAAGTGCTGCTTAATAGTGCAACTGATGACTACTTCCATCACTTTACCGACGATTGAGGGACAACTAATGGAGTGGTAATTAGTTGAGTTGGATTTATCCTGTTTTCTGTGTACAGGACAAACCTGGGCCTCTTCAGCACTATTGTTGGAATTTTGTTAGGGCCCATAGTTTTTGCAGTATCCAGACCCTTCAGTCATTTTGTTGATATCACGTGGAATGAATTAAATTGGCTAACGATTAGAATCTATGACGCCAGAAATCTCTGTACGTGGCCCAGATGGATCATCCACTCAGCACTTCTGATTGAAGATTGTTGCAAATACTTCAGGCTTATCTTTTGCATTGGTGTGTGGGGCACCCCCATCATTGAAGATGGGGATATTTGTGGAGCCTCTTCCTCCAGCTAGATGGTTAATTGTCCACCATCACTTGCAACTGGATGTGGCAGGTTTGCAGAGTTTTGATCTGATCTGTTGGCTTTGGAATCATCTAGCCCCATCTATCATTTGCTGCTTACATAGTTTGGCATGCTTCTTAATGCCACACTTGGCCAAATGTGGTCTTGATGTCAAGAGCAGTTACTTTCACCTCATTCTCATTCTCATATCATACATCCTTTTGTAATTTTAATGAAATAATAAGCTTAATGAAAGCTACAATTCTGTATTGACCATCACTCTACCACTAGTTTGTAAAATAGAAATGGCCCCCATTTAGTTCAGCCGAACATATCACATACCATTGTAGTATGTTTTCCATTTACAATGATTAATCAAAAGATATTACTTTGTGTCAAAAAGACTAACTTACTGCTTCTGAAAATAGAATTATGTCTGAAAAGAAGAGTAAAGCTTCCTGAGCAGTCAGTATTATCTCAACAGTTGTGAAATGTGGTAATTTATTGCATAAATGTTAAATCTTTTGACAGATTTCACGATTTGATACATGGTTTTGAGAATACAGCAATGAGGTAGAGAAAGTAAGTTCATGACCTTGAAGAATCAACAATCAGGAATTGGTTGTGTGGTCAAAATTTCCAATGATATTATGTTGTTTAAAATGCATGGTCTCTCATGGCCAAACAAAATAAGGCAAACACTTACAGCGTGATGGGTAACAATATATTAAGACTCCCTGGGAGGAGATCTAAGGGGCTCCTGCACTTCCATCAAGACATGCGATGACTGTATTCAAAAATAATTTGTGCAGTGATGCACAACCTGAGGGAAGAGCCTCAAAACATTTTTTTATAATTCACTCATGGAACATGGGCATTGCTGGCTGAACAATATTATTGCCTGCACCTAGTTGCCCTTGATCCCTTAGCTGCCTTCTGAAACCGCTACAGTCCATGTGTTGTCATTAACCCACAATGTCATGAGAGATGGAATTCCAGGATTTTGAACCAGTGACAGGGAAAGAATGACAATATACTTCCAAGTCAGAGTGGTGACTGACTTGGAGAGGGACTTGCAGGTGGTGGTGTTCCTATGTATCCGCTGTCCTTATCATTCTAGATGGAAGTGGTTGTGGGTTAAGAAAGTGCTGCCCTAGGATTTTTGGTAAATTTCTGCAATACATCTTGTAGATGTACACACTGCTGTTGCTGGGCATTTGTGTGACTGGATGCTTTTGGATGTGGTGCCAATCAAGTGGGCTGCTTTATCTTGGATAGTGTCATGCTTCTTGAGTGTCATTGCAGCTGAATGTATCCAGGCAAGTGGGGAGTATTCCATCACACTCCTGACTTGTGTCTTGTAGATGTTGTATAGACTTGAGAAGTCAGGAGGCGAGTTACTCAGTATAATGCTCTTAGCCTCTGGTTTTGGTCTTGTTGCCACTGTAATTATATGATGAATCTAGTTGAGTTTCTGGTCAATGGCAACCCCATGATGTTGATAGTGGGGGAAATCAGTGATTGTAATGGCATTGAATGCCAAGGGAGCGGATGATTGAAGATGGTCATTACCATCAGTGTGGCATGAATGTTAGTCATCTAAAAACAAATATCCCTGATTGTGCACAGAAATAGGATAAGAAGAAAAACACAAACAAATTACTCTACTTTGCATCAAAGTATTATGAACGGTTTGCTGCTGCAGATGTCAATCACATGTGGGACTCACAAGCCATCTTAGAGTTCAAATGTATGCATTTCTACATCCAATCTAACTGACTCTCACTTGTTCAGCCATAACAGGATAACCATCAATCTCACCAATGAAGCCCACATTTCATGGATTTCAAAACCAAAATCCAGAAGGCATACCTGTGGCCTTATCTGAAGCTTCAGTGCGTGCCAGTTTGATTTCATACGAACTTCTTAGTTTTTCAATATCTTCTTGCAGTTTGACATTGGACTTCTGTTCTGCTTCATAATCTGCTTTGATCTTTGATAATTTCTGCTCATATTCCTGAAGAAGAATACCAAAAGAAATAATTGATGAAGAATTGGTGAAGAAGAGTGGTAGAGACAGACCAAAGAACTATAGAATATGAGTTTAACATCAATGGTAGGAAATTGAGTGGCGAGAATAGTGAAAGAGAAAAATAATCTCCATTTAGAAAGACAAGGTTTGATCAGGGATAGTCAGCATTTGACAGAGGGAGGTCATACCCAACAAATGCACTGGAATTTTCAAAGAGGTGACCAAGTATTTGAAATAACAAGGTGTAGAGCTGGATGAACACAGCAGGCCAAGCAGCATCAGAGAAGCAGGAAGGCTGACGTTTCGGGCCTAGACCCTTCCTCAGAAATGGTATTTGAATGTGGGTAGGGCAGCTGATGTAGGTTATATGGATTTCAGTAAGGCTTTAGACAAGGTCCCATATGGGAACCTGGTAAAGAAGGTAAAAGTTCATGGGATCTGGTGTAACTTGGCAGGGTGGATCCAAAATAGTGACAGGAAACAGGATGGTGGTCGAAGGCTGTTCTGTGTGATTGGAACTTGGTGTGCAGTGGTGTACCACCACAGGAATCAGTGTTGGCTCCCTTGTTGTTTGTGATATTCATAAATGATATAGATGAGAATGGTGCGAGTGTAGGGGAAATGATAAGGAAGTCTGTGACCACTGGTTGACAATGAGGAGGAATGAGAATATACAAGAGGATATAAAAGGATTGGTTAGATGGGCAGAGTAGTGGCAATTGGAATTTAACCCTGATGAATGTGAGGTGATGCACTTTGGAAGAAGGTACAGACACAGAAATATCGAGTGAATGACAAGACACTATTGAAGCTTAGAGGAAGAGAGGGATCTAGGGGTGCTTGTCCATTGTCCTTGAAAGTGACAAAACAGGTTAATACAGTAGTTAAAGCAGCATACTGAATACTGAATGCCTTTATCAGTGGTAGCATTGATTATAAGAGCAGGGAGGTCTTGTTGGACCCGTGCAGAACTTTGGTTATGCCACAACTGAAGTATTGTGTGCAGTTCTGGACACCACACTATAGGAAGGATGTGGCTGCACTGGAGGGTGTGCAAAGGAGCTTTACAGGATGTTATCTACGGTGGACAATTTCAGCCATGAAGAGAGGCTGGATAAGCTCGGGTTGTTTTCTTTGGTGCAGAGAAGGTTGGTGGTCCTGATAGAGGATCATAAGATTATGAGGCACATGGACAGGGTGGATAGAAAGCAGCTGAACCCCTTAGGTAAGGGATCAATAACAAAGGGGCATTATTTAAAAGGGAAAAGCTAGGAAGTTTAGAAGGGATTTCAAGAAAAAAACTTTTCTACCCAGAATATGTTAGGGTTTGGAATGCACTGTCTGGGATGGTAGTTGAGGCAGGAAGCCTCATAACGTTCAAAAAGTACTTGGACGGGCACTTGAAGCAAATTAACATTCAAGGCTATGGACTTAGTGAAGGAAAATGGGACTAGTGTAGGTAGCAGTATATTTTTGGTAGCGCAAACTCAATGGGCAATGGGTATCTTCTCTATATAATTCTATGATTATCTCCCAAAATCTCATTATACCATTTTAACATCAATAGAAGCAATGAAATACTTGAATGACAACTGTGTGATCCTAGTAAACCCCTGGCATTCCCATTATTGAATCCAACACTATTAATATCCTCAGGTTTACCGTTAACAAGAAACTTGCCTGAACCAGCCATATCAATATTGTGGCTACAAGGGCAGGTCAGAGGCTAGGAATCTTGCAGCTAGTAACTTGCCACCTGACTTCCCAAAGCCTGCCTATCATCTATATTCCCAAAGCCTGCCCATCATCTATAAGGCACAAGTCAGGAATGTGATGGAATATTCCCCACCTGCCTGGATAAATCCAGCTCCAGCAACACTCATGAAGCTCGACACCATTTAGGACAAAGCAGTTCATTTGATTGCACTACATCCATAAACATTCACTCCTTCTCCCTCCAATATTGATGCTCAGTAGCAGCTGTGTGTACTATCCATAAGATGCACTTCAGAATTTCACCAAGGCTCCCTAGTCAATAACTTCCAAACTCACTATCACCTAAAAGTCAAGGCAACAGATACATGGGAGCATCCTCACCTTAAAGTTCCCCTCCAAGCCATTCACTATCCTGACTTGGAAATATATCACTATTTGTTCAGTGTTGCTGGGTCAAAATGCTGGAACTCCCTCCCTAATGGCACTGTGGGTGTACCTACACCAAATGGACTGCAGGGTTCAAGAAGGCAGCTCACCACCACCTTCTCAAAGGCAACTGGCAATGTTTCCTCACAGGCCTCACACTGCGCAGGGCTGGGAAGCTCCACATACATCAATCAGTGTGTCAATGAATGACTATGATTTCTGGAGCCAGTATCATGTATAGACTTTGGAGGACCTTGCAGTGGAAAAAAAAAATTACAAGGAACACTGGCAATTAGGAATGGGTAATAAATGCTGACCCAACCAGTGATGCCCACATACCATGAGCAAATTTTAAAAAAAGCTAAATCTAGCTGCATTGTACTCAAAATACCTTTCAGTTAAGGGGAACATCAATGTTCCTTTTCATACACCCTCGTTTCTGAGGGAAAACCTGACTCTCTCTATCATGCACAGACTGGTAGCTTGTTGCCTACCAGGCAATCACTGATATTACTAATAACAGTTGCAAATAAACTTCCTTTCAGAACCTCCCCAGTCTCCCAACTGCAGTGATATTAGAGTATTATTTACGAATTAAAAAGAAACCTGTGTGCAGTATTCACAAAGACCTCTCCAGTTTGTCAGGATTAAAACTACATTATGAAATATTTTATTACATAGGTTAATAACCCCACCAGAGTAGCGTACACAAGAATTACACCAAAACTGAAAGCAGCAAGTTTCAACCCACTGAATCTTCTGCACAGCTAAGACTGATAAAGCAAAATACTACATATTAGGATATCCTACACATTATAATCTATATGGAAAGAGGTGCACTTCTATTCCCAAAATGATTTTTCCGTGATATTTTGTTTTATTATAAAACATTTTCCATCACAACCATTATGAGTCCTTAAATCCAGTGATTTTAGAACATTGTTCCTTTTCTGGGATGAATACAAATCTCCCTTCTGGATGTAATACATCATAAAGCAGTAATATCAAAACCAGAAGTATTATTTAACATACATCTTTAAACATAGCATGAAAAGATTGAGAATGTGTTTTTGCTTTTGCTTCAATTTACACAAACCTGTCTCATATTTTCTTTTTCAAGTTCTATCTCAGCTTGAGTATTGGAATTCTGAGGGGATGGAATGGTTGATTGACCACTATCTCTTTGCACTTTATTTAGAAAATCTGCAAAATAAGAAGCAAAGTTAGTTTAACTGATAATCTATAATGCTTCCTATTCTAAAATAATAGAATGATAGACAATCAGTTGTCTTGCCCTGCTATTTATCACTGTCTTGGATTCAGGCAAGAATTTTGATCAAGGTGAATCACAGTTGAGTGTCCCTTCCTCACCCATTGTTGATATGTATGTGGTTTTTTTCTGGGCTTCTTGGTAGATATCAGCAGAAGATCCTACCCTATCTTCTTTTATGCGGGTGTTGAAGGTGATCAACTGCTACTTCAGTTGAGGTCAGTTAACTCAGCCAGTCTTGAACCCAGGACTTTCCGGACTGAAATAACACATCAGGTGCTGTTGTACCCTTTGAATTGTGATGGAGAATCGGTGTATGTGTTTCACTTCTATTTTTACTTCTCTCTCTTCTTCATTCCTTTTTTATAACCTATGCTTCAGAAAGTATTCATTCTGGAGTTAGACCAGAATCAGAGAAAATTACACCTAATAATATTGGTGTCTGTATTTAAGTTTGTGATCTTTCTGGAATTACCAAAAGCCAAAATAATTACTGAAATATCATCAGTTAGATGAGGTGAATCTGATTACTAGTGAATTTAAAAATCATTATTAGGTGATATCAAGGTTGGACTTTAAAGGTTTGTACTTAACAGTAGAAGAGAGATGAGGAGTACAACAGGGTTTTGGCGTCATGAGTAAGTACAAGTTGGAATGGGGAAAGTGTGATGAATTGATATAAAGACATTAAGGGTGCAAAAAGGAGGAGGAATGTAAAGGACACTCCATTTGCATCTTAGCAGGAACAAGAAAGGCAGAAATTTCATGTAAACAGTCATCATGGTAACAATGTAGAGACAAAGAATAACTTTTAACACATTTATCTGAAACCAGCACAAAACTACAAAAAATACTGAGATGTCAATCCAAAAACAGAAGTGATGTATGGAACTTCAAACCGTACAATGCGTGTTAATTTTAGATGATATATTACAAAAAGATGTCTCTTACTGTGGTACTTTAAGAACTGTTCTGGGTATCAGTGGAACAGATACTATGTTCTATCAAAATTGGTGATTAACACTATTCATTAATATCATAAACAATGACGAACACTACCACTGCTCACTTATGCAATGAATATGCTCTAGGGTTTATTTAAGTAATAGATTGTGGAGGCTTTGGTGCCATAGCAATGTTACTGGGCTATTAATCCAGAACTCCCAGGCTAATGTTCTGAGGAGTCATAAATCACACATGTCACATATCATCCCACTAACCTCCGTATTTAATGTATCATTCTCCGCCACTTCTGCCACCTGCAATCTGACCCCACAACCAAAGATATATTTTCCTCTCCACCCCTATCTGCCTTCTGTAGGGACTGCTCTCTCCGTGACTCCCTTGTCCGCTCCACACTCCCTACTAGCCCTATCACCCCTGCCACCTTTCTCTGCAACCGCAGGAAGTGCTACACCTGCGCCTTCACCTCCCCTTTCACTTCTATCCAAAGCACCAAACAAACCTTTCATATCAGACAGAGGTTCACCTTCACGTCTGTCAATGTGGTCTACTGCATCCGCTGCACCCGATGTGACCTCCTCTACGTTGCTGAGATCAAGCAGAAGCTCAGAGACTGCTTTGTAGAGCATCTGCACTCTGTTCGTGACAAACGACAACACGTTCCAGTCGCAAACTATTTCATCTCCCCCTCCCACTCCCTAGACGTCGTGTCCATCCTGGTCCTCCTCCAGTGGCACAACGACGCCACCCGGAAAATGGAGGAGCAGGACCTCATATTCCACCTTTGGAGCCTACAACCCAATGGTCTCAATGTGGACTTCACCAGTTTCAAAATCTCCCACCCCCCAGCCTCATCCCATGGCCAACCCTCCCACTCATCCCTGCTTCCTTGACCTGACACAACCTGTCCATCTTCTCTCCACCTATCTGCTCCTCTCACCTCACTGACAAATCCCCACCACTGTCTAAAAAAAACCCAAAAGAACTGCGGATGCTGTAAATCAGGAACAAAAACAAAGTTTCTGGAAAAGCTCAGCAGGTCTGGCAGCATCTGTGAGGGAGAAAACAGAGTTAACGTTTCGGGTCCGGTGACCCTTCCTCAGAACTGATAGTGGCTGGGAAAACGTCAGTTTATATGCAGAAAATAGGGAGGTGGGTGGGGTAGGGAGTAAACGATAGGATAGAGCCCAAAGAGAAAGAAAGACAGTTGGACAAAGGAGTTGCTAACGATCAGGCTGGGAGGGTGAATAGTTGTTAATGGGGACTGTTAGTGACTAACAACAGGGGGTGTGTAATGGCAGGCTATGTGGTTACAAAGCCTGGTGTGTGGGGTGGGGGGGCTGGGACATGGGAGAGTTTAGGCCCTAAAATTATTGAACTCAATATTGAGTCTGGAGGGCTGTAGGGTCCCCAAGCGGAAAATGGGGTGTTGTTCCTCCAGCTTGCATTGAGCTTCACTGGAACACTGTAGCAAGCCAGAGACAGAGATGTTGGCCAGGGAGCAAGGTGGTGCATTGAAGTGGCAGGCAACGGGTAGTTCAGGGTCTTTTTTGCGAGTAGAACGTAGATGTTCTGCAAAGCGGTCACCAAGTCTACGCTTCGTTTCCCCAATATAGAGGAGACCACATTGTGAGCAGCGAACGCAGTAGACTAGATTCTGGGAATTGCAGGTGAAGTGTTGCTTCACCTGGAAGGTATGTTTGGGCCCTTGGACACTGGGGAGGGAGGAGGTAAATGGGCAGGTGTTGCACCTTCGCCGGTTGCAGGGGAAGGTGCCGTAGGGCTGTGGGGAGGTGTTGGGGGTAAAGGAAGTGTGGACCAGGGTGTTCCGGAGGGAATAGTCGCTGCGGAAGGTGGACAAGGAAGGGGAGGGGAATATGTGTCTGGTGGTGGCATCTTGCTGGAGGTGGTGGAAATGGCATCTGATGATCTTCTGGATGTGGATGCTGGTGGGATGGTAGGTAAGGATAGGGGGAACCCTATCGCTGTTGCGGGAGGGAAGAGAAGGGGTGAGGGCGGAAGTGCGGGAGATGGGTCGGACCTGGTTGAGGGCCCTGTCGACAATGGAGCTGGGGAAACCTCGGTTGAGGAAGAAGGTGGACATTTTGGAGGCTCCCTTGTCGAAGTTGGCCTCATCTGAACATATGCGACAGAGACGGAGGAACTGAGACAATGGGATGGAGTCTTTACAGGAAGTGGGGTGTGAGGATGTATAGTCCAGGTAGCTGTGGGAGTCAGTGGGTTTGTAATGGATATTAGTGACCAGTCTATCCCCAGAAATGGAAACAGAAATGTCGAGGAAGGGAAGGGAGGAGTCAGAGATAGACCAGGTGAAAGTGAGGGCAGGGTGGAAATTGGAGGCGAAATTGATGAAGTTTTCTAATTCCAGACGAGCGAGGGAAGCATTGATATCGGAGAAAGAGTGTGGGTGGGGGCTGGAATAGGACTGGAACAAGGAATGTTCCACATACCCCACGAAGAGACAGGCATAACTAGGGCCCATGTGGGTACCCATGGCAACCCCTCTTACGTGATGAAAATGAGAGGAGTTGAAAGAGAAGTTGTTGAGGGTGAGGACAAGCTCGGCCAAGCGGAGGAGGGTGGTCGTGGATGGGGATGGTTCAGGTCTTTGCTCCAGGAAGAAGCGGAGAGCCCTAAGACCCTCCTGGTGGGGAATGGATGTGTAAAGGGATTATGCATCCATGGTAAAGAGGAGGTGGCTGGAGCCGGTAAACTGGATGTTTTGGAAATGGCGTAAGGCGTCAGATGAATCATGGTTGTATGTGGGTAGGGATTGGACCAGGGGGGAGAAGACTGAGTCAAGGTAGGAAGAGATGAGTTCTGTGGGGCAGGAGCAGGCTGAAACAATGGGTCTGCCTGGACAGTCCTGTTTGTGGATTTTTGGCAGGAGGTAGAAACGGGCTGTGCGGGGTTGGGGAACTATTAGCTTGGAAATGGAGGGGTGGAGATCACCGGATGAAATAAGATCCATAACCGTAGTGGATACAATTGCCTGATGTGCCATGGTGGGGTCATGGTCCAGGGGAAGGTAGGAGGAGGTATCCGAGAGCTGGAGCTCAGCCTCCGCAAGGTGGAGGTCAGTATGCCAGACTACAACAGCACCACCCTTATCGGCAGGCTTGATGACAAAGTCAGGGTTAGATCTGAGTGCATGGAGTGCAGTCAGTTCGGAGGGAGATAGGTTGGATTTGTTGAGAAGGGCAGAGAAATTGAGGCGACTAACGTCACGTCGACAGTTCTCAATGAAAAGATCGAGTGCAGGTAAAAGGCCGGAGGGAGGGATCCAGGTGGAGGGAGAGTGTTGGAGTTGGGCAAAGGGGTCTGTGGGACGGGCAGTGGACTCTTGTCCAAAGAAATGAGCACGGAGACGAAGACGGCGGAAGAAGAGTTCGGCGTCATGTTGTGCCCAAAATTCGTTAAGGTGGGGACAGAGAGGGATAAAGCTGAGGTCTTTGCTGAGTATGGAGTGTTCAGCATCGGAGAGCGTAAGGTTAGAAGGGATGGTGAATACCTGACAGGAGGTGGGGGAGGAGGAGGAGGACGACAGGAGGAGGAGGTACCCACATACATCCATGATTCATCTGACGCTTTACGCCGGTTTCAAAACTTCCAGTTTACCGGCTCCAGCCACCTCCTCTTTACATAGAACATTAGAACATAGAACAGTACAGCACAGTACAGGCCCTTCGGCCCATGATGTTGTGCCGAACTTTTACCCTAAACCTAAGGTCTATCTAACCTCCAACGCTACCTTATACTATCATCCATATGCCTATCTAATGGCTGCTTAAATGCCCCTAATGAGACGACACCACTACCCTCTCTGGCAATGCATTCCATGTCCCGACCACTCTCTGAATAAAGAACCTACCTCTGACGTCTCCCCGATATCTACCTCCTTTCACTTTAAAACTATGTCCCCTCGTAAAAGCTACCTCCACCCTAGGAAAAAGTCTCTGGCTGTCTACTCTATCTATACCTCTGATCATTTTGTACACCTCTATCAAGTCACCTCTCATCGTTCGTCGTTCTAAAGAGAAAAGCCCAAGCTCTCTCAACCTTTCCTCGTAAGACCTTCCCTCCATTCCAGGCAACATCCTGGTAAATCTCCTCCCCACCTTTTCTAACGCTTCCACATCTTTCCTGTAATGAGGTGACCAAAACTGGACACAATACTCCAGATGTGGCCGAACCAGGCTTTTGTGTAGCTGGAGCATAACTTCACGGCTCTTGAACTCAATCCCTCTATCAATGAAAGCTGACACACCATACACCTTCTTAACAACTCTATCTACCAGGGTGGCAGCTCTCAGGGAACTGTGAACATGAGCCCCAAGATCCCTCTGCTCCTCCACACCACCAAGAATCTTTCCGTTAACCCTGTATTCTGCTTTCATGTTTGTCCTTCCAAAATGAATCACCTCACACTTTTCCGGGTTAAACTCTGTCTGCCGTTTCTCAGCCCAGCTCTGCATTCTATCAATGTCCCTTTGTAACCTAGAACAGCTCTCCGCACTGTCCACAACGTGACCCACCTTCGTATCGTCCGTGAACTTGCTAATCCACCCTTCCACTCCTTCATCCAAATCATTTACAAAAATCACAAATAGAGGAGGACCCAGAACAGATCCTTGTGGTACACCATTCGTAACTGAACACCATGTTGAATATTTTCCGTCCACTACCACCCTTTGTCTTCTAAGGGTCAGCCAATTCTGAATCCAATCTGCCACATTTCTCCCTATCCCATGCCTCCTTACCTTCTGCATGAGCCTACCATGGGGAACCTTACCAAATGCCTGACTTAAATCCATGTATACCACATCCACTGCTCCACCTTCATCCATGTGTTTGGTCACCTCTTCAAAGAATTCAATAAGGTTTGTGAGGCATGATCTATCCCTCACAAATCCATGCTGACTATGGATGTGCACGGATTTACCATGGATGTGCAATCCCTTTACACATCCATTCCCCACCAGGTGGGTCTTAGGGCTCTCCGCTTCTTCCTGGAGCAAAGACCTGAATCATCCCCACCCACAACCACCCTCCTCCGCTTGGTCGAGCTTGTCCTCACCCTCAACAACTTCTCTTTCAACTCCTCTCATTTTCTTCACGTAACAGGTGTTGCCATTGGTACCCTCATGGGCCCTAGTTATGCCTGTCTCTTCGTGGGGTATGTGGAACATTCCTTGTTCCAGTCCTATTCCGGCCCCCACCCACAACTCTTTCTCCGATACATTGATGATATCGTCGGTGCTGCTTCCTTCTCTCATCTGGAATTGGAAAACTTCATCAATTTCGCCTCCAATTTCCACCCTGCCCTCACTTTCACCTGGTCTATCTCTGACTCCTCCCTTTCCTTCCTTGACATTTCTGTTTCCATTTCTGGGGATAGACTGGCCACTTATATCCGTTACAAACCCACTGACTCCCACAGCTACCTGGACTATACATCCTCACACCCCACTTCCTGGAAAGACTCCATCCCATTCTCTCAGTTCCTCCGTGTCTATCGCATATGTTCAGATGAGGCCAACTTCGACAAGGGAGCCTCCAAAATGTCCACCTTCTTCCTCAACCAAGGTTTCCCCAGCTCCGTTGTCGACAGGGCCCTCAACCAAGTCCGACCCATCTCCCGCACTTCCGCCCTCACCCCTTCTCTTCCCTCCCGCAAAGCGATAGGGTTCCCCTTATCCTTACCTACCATCCCACCAACATCCACATCCAGAAGATCATCAGACGCCATTTCCGCCACCTCCAGCAAGATGCCACCACCAGACACATATTCCCCTCCCCTCCCTTGTCCGCCTTCCGCAGGGACCGTTCCCTCTGGGACACCCTGGTCCACACTTCCTTTACCCCCAACACCTCCCCACAGCCCCACAGCACCTTCCCCTGCAACCGGCGAAGGTGCAACACCTGCCCATTTACCTCCTCCCTCCCCAGTATCCAAGGGTCCAAACATACCTTCCAGGTGAAGCAACACTTCACCTGCACTCCCCAGAATCTTGTCTACTGCTTTCGCTGCTCATAATGTGGTCTCCTCTATATTGGGGAAACAAAGCGTAGACTTGGCGACTGCTTTGCAGAACATCTACATTCTACTCGCAAAAAAGACCCTGAACTACCCGTTGCCTGCCACTTCTATGCACCACCCTGCTCCCTGGCCAACATCCCTGTCTCTGGCTTGCTACAGTGTTCTAGTGAAGCCCAACGCAAGCTGGAGGAACAACAACTCATTTTCCGCTTGGGGACCCTACAGTCCTCTGGACTCAATATTGAGTTCAATTATTTTAGGGCCTAAACTCTCCCATGTCCCAGCCCCCCAACCCACACACCAGGCTTTGTTACCACATAGCCTGCCATTACACACCCACTGTTGTTAGTCACTAACAGTTTCCATTAACAACTATTCACCATCCCAGCCTGATCGTTAGCAACTCCTTTGTCTGTCCAACTGTCTTTCTCTCTCTTTGGGCTCTATCCTATCGTTTACTCCCTACCCCACCCACCTCCCTATTTTCTGCATATAAACTGACGTTTTCCCAGCCACTATCAGTTCTGAGGAAGGGTCACCGGACCCAAAACGTTAACTCTGTTTTCTCCTTCACAGATGCTGCCAGACCTGCTGAGCTTTTCCAGCAACTTTGTTTTTGTCCCACCACTGTCTACCTGCACTCACCGATCACTATCCCACCTATCTTCCCCAGCTCCACCCCTCCTCTTTCTATTTATTTCGGAGCTCCCTTCCCCCTCCCCCATTTCTGAAGCAGGGTCCTGGCCCGAAACGTCAACTTTCCTGCTCCTCTGATGCTGCCTGGCCTTCTATGCTCCTGCAGCACCACACTGTGTTATCTCTGACTCCAGCATCGGCAGTTCTTACTATCTCAAATGTTCTGAGAATGTGGGTTCAAATCTCACCATTGCAGGTGGTGAAATTTGAATTCAAGAAAAATCTGGAATAAAATCCAGCCTAATGGTGACCATGTATTCACAGTTGATTGTCATAAAAATTCATCTGGTTCATGAATGTTCTACAAGGACATACCTTGCCTGGTCTGGCCTACATGTAGCTCCCATCCCATGGCAATGTGGTGATTCTGGGAATTGAGTGCAACTTGGAGTTAGATCAGATGCCTACCATTAAGGATAACTATTGATATTCACAGGGCCTAACAAGGACCCATTCTGCTTCTGCTACCCTCCACAATGAGGCCCAGATAGCTGTGACCATCTAAAAGTTTAAAATTAACATACTTTCACTTTTCTCTCTGTCAATGTTCAGATCAGCAACTCCCACCCTGGCTGATAGGCTGCCAATCTTTGAAGTGCTTGAGGGCCTCCCAATGGTCCATCAATGTCAGACGCCCACCCACCATCCTTGATTAGATAGCCAGACACTCCCAGTCTTTAAAAATCTGGTGGACATGCCTGGAACACATCATATGGGGTTGGGACCCAGAACTAAACCAGCAGATGAATTGCAAATGCAGAATTGAAAATCCTGGCATTGGAAATGGCATACATTCTACATCCAATGGATCAGTCTTATACTGTTTGATTCACAGAAATTTGGATTCCATCAGTTCATATCAGTATCAAATAAGGTGTTTTTAATGAATTATGGAAGAGAAAGTGCTTACTAGATAAGTTGTCATTTCCAAGTTGTCCAGCTAGGAGTGCCTTTAGCTGTTTAATCTCTTCCTGATATTCTCGAAGTAAGGCATCCTTTGGATCTTCATTAATTCTTGGTTTGTTTTTGATATTCTTTGCCCTGTTGGCATATCGTAAAGTGCTAAGACTTTCATCATAATTATTGTCTGCAGGAGACAGACATGCCACCATCAGAGTTTTGGTGTTACCTCCAAGGGAATCTTGCAACATTCGTGTCAGTTTTGAGTCACGATATGGAATGTGTTTTGATCTTCCGTCCACAAGTGCAGAAATTACATTCCCAAGTGCTGACAGTGACAGGTTGATTTTCGTGGCTTCTTTCAATCGATCTCCAGTTGCTCCAGTTTTTGCCTGTCTTTCACTACCTGCCAAATCTACCAGGTTTAATTTTCCCACACGGATATGGTCTTTCCCATTATCATCTGCAAGAAAGATACAGATATGGTAGTTACAGCCAATTACTTTTTCATCATGATGCCCATCTGCCTTCAATCATTTCCAATATGAGGAGGGCAGCAGGCAGTCCATCCCTATTGTCTCTTCAAATTCTATTAGTGAATATCACTACAAGGCTAGAAGTAATTGTTCCTTCCTAGTTAAACTTTAAAGGGTCGTTAGTCAATTATTTTGGTGAATAGACTCACATATAGGCTAAACCTGGCTAATGACAGCAGGTTTTCTTCTTTAAAGGACAAAGTGAATCAGTTGGGTTTTTTCTAAAATCCAGTATTTTCATGGTTATGTTCTGATACCAGCATTTCTTTCAAACAGACTTGTGCTTCAAACTGAATTCACATTCACAAACTGTGAAAGTAGAACTGCCAACCCTCCAGGGTTGTCCTGGTATCTCTAGGAATTGAAGATTAACACTTTGGATATTGTTGAAAGCAACCCAAGAGATAAGACATAGGGCTGTTGAAAGATAATTTGGCTGTCATATTGTTGCAGGCCAGTCTTCTTATGGCCTCTGAATATTATTGCTATTTTAAAGGAATTACTTTATTTTCATACAACTGATATCCTGCCATTCAAACCTTATTTAGACATATTATTTTGTTTCTTTTATTGTCCCTTTGGCTTTGAACCACAAAATCTTTTGGCAATTTAATTTCTGCTACCCTCCACCCAATCACAGAACTTCTCTTTTGTTCTTCTGCCAATTCTCACTCTTTTCACTTGCTCAAAACCTATTATATTTTAACTTGACTCAGTAGGGACAAATTATCAGCTCTGTTTCTCTCTCCCTTTTTATTATTCACCTCATTAGGAAATTGAAGAGTAACAGAATCATTTGAACCTGCGGGTGGTGGCCACTGTACTTTTTGTGAGCAAGCCCAGGCCCAAATAAGAGTCCCACGTTCAGTGTTATGAGCCATAGTAAATGGCAGAACCAGCAAATTTCAGTGGTGATGGCTTGAAGGCCAATTGCTCGAAGTACAGATGAAAGGTGATCTTTGGGAAGAGGACGTAAGTTTCCTCTAGCATAATTGAAGAAGACAATGGGAAATTAGCTCAGCTGATCTTTTCCTTTAACGTATTGTTCTTTGAAATTGAAAATGGGAGACTTAAATGAGCAATGGAAGATGAAAGCACAAAGCTGCAAGTCATCACTACTGCACATTAGGAAATTGACCTATTAGCAGAAGTCAGAGGATAGGGATAATGAGCAGGCACTAATTTGCGGCACGGATCTGGGTTTGGAGTCTCAACGACTCAGTGTATCCACTAATGACCAAGGTGATGGAATAGAAAGTCAGCAAAGATAGATAGTATTGTAAACAGGGCAGGTGGAAGTATAAAATTATAATATAATATTAATTGATTAAGTGAACAGGCAACTGGAAAATGGCTTTCAATGTAAGAAATAAGATTATCTAATGATGGCATTAAAAAGGAATTAAAAAAGGGCAAAAAGCTTGAAACAGTGAAGGTTCAAAGAAACTTGGGATGCATGAACATAGATCATTAAAATGTCATCAATAGTTTCAGAGGGTTATCAAAAAAAATGTAATTTTGGCCTTCACATCTCGAGAGTTACTATACACAGGGGATATAAGGTCTGTTTCTGCTATACAACATTCTGGTTGTTCTATACCTGCAGTACTCTGAGCACTTCTGGGTACCACACCTTAGGAAAGATATAGTAGCCTGGCAGGATGTGCAGTGTAGATTTATCAAATAATAACTGGACTCCAAGGATTAAATTACAAGGAGAGGTTACAGAAACTAGGACTGTATTCTTTGAAATTCATAAGGTAAGGGGTGATTTGATTAATTTTTAAAAGATATTAAGTGAAGATAGGGAGAGTCTATTTTAGCTGATTGTAGAGTCTAGGGCAAAGAGAGATAGTCTAAAAACAAAAGCCAGAACTTTTACGAGAGCAATTAGGAAACGCATGTACGAGCAAAATCAGGTAAAAATCTAGAAATCTAATCTCTTCTGTAAATGGAAATAGGTCGATGTTTCGTTTATTAATGGTAAGTGTGAGATGAACAGATTTTTTTTCCACCAGAGGTAACAGGGGATATGAGCAAAGGCACTTCAGTGGGAGTCTGGGTTTCAAATTACTATAATTTCACTGAACAGTGGCTCATGGTGGACCAGGCTTAAGGGGTTAATTGGCTTACTCCATTTCCAATGTTCATATACGTTTCCTTTAAACCCTAGGGAGCTGCATTTCAGTACTAGAGACAAAACTGAGCAAGAGTTCCAAAGAATTTTAGTTCCTTGCTACAATTTTGTGAAGATAAACAATAGCCTTGATATTGTACATTCTCAATCCTATTTCATAAAGGAATCAGGTTTATTGGAAATAGTGAGAACAGGATGAAGAGTAAGAAACATTGCTGTAAAAAATGATGACAAACAGGAATTGAAGGCCACTAAACACAAAGATAAAGGGGAACGAACACAAAAATAAATAAGAGAAAAGGACAGAGGGATAAACATTTATAAGAAAGAAAATGCTATTTGCTTTAATCTATTTTAATTTTGGAAGAAATTCTGGGAATTGGAACTTATGAATTTTACCAGAAACAATTCAGAAATAAATCGCTGCAAATAAAAAATCAATATTCAATCATCTGTGGCTTTTGCATAACTGACCTATTGAACACATCTCCAAGTGAATGGTGAATATAGAATGTGAACGTGATGAATCTTTGTTCATGAGGGTGTATCCCACAGCTCGATTGCCCCAGCCAACATCCATGATTTTCTCACACTCTGAGACACTGTGCACAGTGTGCATGGATAGGTCCTTCACATAAATGCCTTTCTCTGGATGCTCCTTAAGCTATAATCAGGGGCATGAGACAAACAGGTTAGAAGCTTGAGGAATCATCGGCCTAGGACTCATCTATTAAATTTTACCATTGTAAAGATTATTTACTGTGTCAAAGAATTCAAGACAGCTTTTACTTCTAATTTTGCAACAAGAAATAGGAACTCAACTTTTAAATTTTCTCTATTCCTCTCCTAAAGGTGCCAACTTTCGCTGTGCAAAGATAAAGAACATGCATTTACATTGAGTGATAGTAAGAACTGCCGATGCTGGAGTCTGAGATAACACAGTGTGGAGCTGGAGGAACACAGCAGGCCAGGCAGCATCAGAGGAGCA